CCCTTCCGGAAGGGCAGAAGAGTAAAGAATAAAGATCCAGCTATGCCTTTAAAATACTTCTTAAATTTTTAATATGAATAAAATTAGTGACCATTTAGTGACCATTCAAAGTTACAATAGCATTGAAAAAATTTAATTTGGAACCAGGTTTCACATTTACAACCATTGCAGCATCCCTGTGGCCACATCACCATAGGCACTTGGCAACTAACATGTACTTATGATGGTTGAACTGATCTGCAGTAATGTGATCACCATTCGTGACATTTCCAGCTGGCTTCTAACAAGCAAAGTCACTTGCGTAATGGCTGCATGATTCATTTAACAACTGCAGTGATTCACTTAACCACTGCTTTGCTTAGCAATCCAAATGTTGGGCTCAATTGTACTGGTAAGTCAAGGACTGCCTGTAGTATTGTAAGTGACTGGTAAATGGAAACAAGAGGAGACGGACCTCAAAAGTAGTGAATCAGAATAAGCTCTCTGTAGAATAACTCAGTAGCAAATTTGAGCATATGTAAAGACTATACTACCTGGGCTACAGATGGATCCCTTAAGCTCTGTACCTATCTTTCAAGATAAACCTGCAGTCTAACCAGGAGAGAAAATAGTCTTTGAGAAATTACACACTTTTTGTACTATGTTCTAGAAATGCAGGCATGTACAGAGTTCCTAAACCTCTAAAATTGCTAGGATTTGGAAGATTTCCCAATTTTTCGCTGGTTGACAGTTTATGTCCTACTATCACCCTATCATGGTGCAATTACAGATCTACTACATGAGAGCAAGATTCCAAAGGCAGCTGCTTCTCCTACCAGCGATTTTCCCTTAAAATGTGTTTGAAATATAGAACTTGGAAATCACAATCTTTCAACATGAGACCCTGGGGCAGTGGGAGTGGGAGGGGCAGCATTTCACTGGTGATATGTCAGTGTTTAAATAACTCTGAAGAATCCCAGCTGTTGCTCCTGTTTTTACTTACACTTATTTATCCAGACACAACAAAAGATAGTCCTGCAACAATATTTTCCTAATATGCAGTTGGACATGGGTGCTAAAGCATTAAAGTTTTTCAAAACAATTTTGACTTGAGCTGCAGAAAATGGAAGGATGTTGAGAGAACATATGTCAACATACTGTAGCTACAGAAAGCAGGCAGCTCCAGAATGGGGAGGGGGACATTGCTGAAGAATGGTTCTTGTCAGGAAGAAAGAAACAAAGTATTAGTAAAGAAAGTACTGCAGTAGCATTGGAGGCCAGCAATAAGCCCAACAGCAAAAGCAATTTATTATGACAGACATTCCAACAATGAGTTTCTTTAACTTTTACAGACAATACTCTCTCTAAAAAAATGAGAAACTTCTAGGACTCTTCAATAAAAGAATTTTCCCTTACTTACAATTGTATTAATGAGATATATATGAGCCTACATATGACAGTATTTTTTATCAATGCCTACAGTAAGATTTGGTGTTGTATTTAGCTTAGTCTTTATCTTTGTTGTTGCAAATGCTGAAAATCCACAGTGGCCATTCTGTTTTGAAGAGTAACAGAGTTGGAAGAAACCTTGAAGCTCTTCTAGTCCAACCCTCTGCTCAAGCAGGGAACCCGATACCATTTCAGATAAATGGTTGTCTAATCTCTTGTTAAAAACTTCCAATGTTGGAACACCCACAACCTCTGGTTGCAAGTCGTTCCACTGATTAATTGTTCCAACTGTCAGGAAATTTCTCCTTAGTTCTTGGTTGCTTCTCTCCTTGATTAGTTTCCATTCATTGCTGGTGCTTTGAAGAATAGCTTGACTCCCTCTCCTTTGTGGCAGCCTCTGAGATATTGGAACACTGCTATCATGGCACCCCTGGTACTTCTTTTCATTAAACTAGACATACCCAATTCCAGCAACCATTCTTTATGTTTTAGTCTCCAGCCCCCTAATCATTTTTGTTACTCTTCTCTGTACTCTTTCTAGAGCAGCAGTTCTCAACCTTTCTAATGCCGTGACCCTTTAATACAGTTCCCCCTGTTGTGGTGACCCCCAACCAACACTCCGTCGTGCCAAAACCCCGCTCCTTGGCTCTGATTGGCTTGGAACCCAATAACTGGAACCCAATTTCTCCCCCCCACACACACACATATAGACTCCCCCTTTTTTTACGTTTGTGTTTTTCCTCCTACTTCCCTGCGTGTGGGCCTGTGTGTGTATTTGTGGGCATGTGCTTGCGCGCATGTGTGCGTGCAAGAGAGAGAGAGTGACACAGCACACTTTAAAGTCTAATGAGTTAAAGAGTTCCGATAGTCTTGGGCGACCTCTGTGAAAAGGTCATTCGACCCCCAAAGGGGTCATGACCCACAGGTTGAGAACCACTGTTCTAGAGTCTCAACATCTTTTTTTTTACACTGTGGCAACCAAAACCAAATTATTTCATACTTGCATCACTGCGTATGATTACACTTTGTACCTGAGAATAATGTTACCTAAACCTTACTTTTTAGGTGCAAAAATGTAAAAAAAAAAGTGGGTCCGGTAAAGTGATACCTCAACTTACCATTGCAATGAATTAAAATCATAATTCCAGGCTCAATTACATTTGTAAATTGAGGGCTACCTGTACTTCCTGCATTTGCTTTGCAATGAAGTTCTTGGTTCAACACAGGCTTCCCCAGAGATTGAATTCAGGTATAAAAAAAGTTATTAGTTTGATTACTAGAGATGAAGATGATAATAAATAAAAAAGCAAACCTATCATCTGACTCAATACGAGGGCAACCTCATATACACAACCCATACATTTCCAATTTCAGAAGAAAAATGTAAGCAATTCTTAATCCTGACAAGTTCAAAAATAAAAAAGGGTGGTAGAAGAAAAGCATTCTTGATAGTCTATAATTAAGCTCTTCTCTTTTTTTGTGACTACATGTTCAGTGATTTTGTTTATCCTTAAGCAAACAGCTGACAGTAGCTTTGGCAGGCAAGCAAACACAGAGGCAGCCAATTCATTTGTTAGCTACCTGTATCCAAACTTGCCAAGGCTTGCTCCTGACAAGCTGAGCTTCTAGGAATGTTGTCTCTGAACACATCCAGGAAAACCAGTAGCAACCTTGCACCGTTGTTTTGCTGGAACAAGAGCTGAAGATAAGGAATGTACCACTCAGGGACATAGGAGCTCCCATGATATGCTTCAAAAGGGTGAAAGCATGTAAATGTCCATATAAGTGAAATCTATGCAAAACATTCCTTTCTAATACTTGCAAATACTCAGGGGCGCTTACTAAGGACTTGCTTTGCTGTTCTAATGAGATAACTATTCTCCCATAATCCCCAGATGTAAATCAAAACAATCAATGCCACATTTCTAGAGAGCAAACCTCCCCAGAAGCTTTTGGTTGTATAATTGGGGAAAAAAAGTTAGGGCAGCTGGATACACATTCAGGCAAGCTAAGTCTTACAATCAAGGCTGTGCTCATGATGCACTTTGAATGATCGTGACTTCCTCTGTGTGAAAATCAGTTTTCCCAACTATATTACATAAAGTACCTTGACCTTTTATGGGGGGAGACATCCATTACTAGTTTTCCTTCCTCAACTTGCCACTCACCAAAATCTAGGATATTCTAAGCATTTTATTAATTCATTTCAAATATTTTCGCCTGCATTTCAATTTATAAAGATCTGAAATCATCTATATGCTATCTAGGAATAAAGAGGATTGTAGCAGACAATATTTCATATAAAAATTAATTCTGACTTGGAATAAAGCTGGTAAAGTTGACATAAAAATATAGATATACACTACAGTAATAATAAAGTCTATATCTGAGCTCTATTTATCTAGTACTTATTCATTTTACATCCTTAAAAGGGAAGTATTTTACTAGTAAATTTTAAGAAGATGGGGTAGCAAGTTGATAACTGCTAGACATCAATATTTACCATCTTTTCTCAACATTTTATCTTGAGTTTCCCCCACTGGAACAATAATAAAAACTTACTTTTTTAAAATTACACCATTTAAAATTATATTTGCAAAATAAATCCAACTATCACAATCCTGAACTCTCAGAAATGGTGGAGATTACAATACAGATCTCTGACAATAACAGAGGAAACCATTTGAGAGCAATTTGCATTTCTCTGTAGGAAGTAGAATCAATAAACACTGTAGTGGAACTACATAACTTGAGTATCTATTTAATGTCATATAATGTCATTCTATATGGCATAGAATCATTAGAATCAGAAAGGTATTCAAGCATTCAACCATATCAGTTACTCTACTTTTTATGTGCGAGATACACAAAACAATGTGAGTAGAACATAAAATGTGGGGCTCTGAGGAATTACACTTTTAGTAGATATTTTCCCCATATAAGAGGCCACTGCTATTGTCTACTTTAAGCAACACTGACTACATAAGGATGTACTTTTATTTTACCCAATTCACTAAATGAGAAACAATAGCTTCAACAATTAATTGGAAGAATTTTGTATTAGGATTTAATATGCAGCTTTTAGCATAAACAGGATTTGGGAGGGGGAGCTTAACAGTTATAACATTTGAAAGTAAGCATTTTAAGCAATGTGTAAATTTCTTACCGAGACAGTTATGACCATCATGTGCAAGATGAAAGCCATCATAGCAGGTACATCGATAATTCCCTGGGATATTGACACATTCATGAACACAGCCAGCATTGTCATCGCGTTCACATTCATCAACATCTGAATAAAGAAAAGAGAATATATGTGATGTGAAAGAACTTCAGAACTAACTAAAAATTCACAAAGCTCTTATCAAGTGTTTATAAAATGACTAAACTGAGAACAACAGGGATGCACCCTTTTACCTCACACTGACGGAGAAAACCTGTAATGAGAGAATAACAGACTTCAGCCAAACACAATTTCAACCTTCCACGCAGTAGTGAAGCATGTGAAACCTTAACCCTCCTAGTCTCATCTAGGATTATAGCTGTCCTTGCTTCTAAGTGGGAATATGGGGGAAGCCACAACAAGTGTTCTCTTTACCTTTCATCCAAAGTGGCTTTCATTCAACTTTCATTCAAATCTATTCTAAAATTAGAAAATCTTAAGTAGATCCTCTGGGTAATTGTTGCAGTGATATTTCTTATCTAAACAGAGAAACAGAATGACCAAGGGCAACACACACCCCCAAAAGAAAACAAGTGGGATGGGAGCAACTTCCAATTTTCTGCCCCTTAAGTATAGCTGATTGCCCTCCAGCAACCAACAATAGGACCAGTCTACCTAGCCTGTAGAGGGCTAGTGTCCAGCATCTGAAGGGCAAGGCCAGTCAACCCAACCTTTGGAGGGTTAAGGCAGGACCACTTTACTGAACCTCTGGAGGATGGCATAGCAGCACCACCAGAGGAACCACAAACTTGCCAAACTTCAATCCCATGGGATTCATGGATCCTGGATTTGGGGTGCATTCTATACATTAGTCCTTTTGAGGTATTGGTACAAAAATTGTTGACCTATGATCTGCTGTTTTGTCCACTTAAATGTTACTCACTCAAGAGTTTTATTAGTATGTACTGTACTGTAGTATATTACACTGACAATACTTTAATTATTTATTTATTTAACAAATTATACCCCAGTTCAATAAAGGCAAACATTCTGTTCTTCATTCCCATTATTGCATGCTAAATTCTTACTTATATCCAGTGGTTGGAGCTAATTCTTACAAAGTCATTAAAATTATGCTTGTTACTGCTGCTTCAAATACAGATTGCCTAGTCACTACCATTGTCCAACAGAATTTCCAAAATAATAGGACTATATTTTTCTCTCTTTCACATTATGTAATGGTACATTGGAATGACTTTAGGAGATAATAGGAAGATCCATAGGCTAGACAATCATCATGCAAAAGGTATCTCAGTCCACAGAATCAGAGTGGATGTTTCAGAAGGGATTTTCCTTAGTTTTACAGAAAAAGGAAAGGAGAGGAATACTCTGAGTACTTGCAAGCTTCTTTAATTTAAGCTTACAATAAAAATAAAGCTAGTATTCATTTATCTGCATTTTTTTCTGGACTACCTTGATGCGCTAACACCTTTCCTGATTATAGATACAATACCATCACAATGTTCTGATTAAATGAGAAATCAACAGTAATTTCCAATTTTTACATCATTTAGAATCTGATCCTGACAGTTCACTTTCAAAATAAGATACAAGAATCGTTTAGAGGACATGAATCTTTAACATTAATTATAAAGTAGACAACTTGTTTACATCAAAATTATTAATGGAGTTACACAGATTAATTCCAGTAAATCCTTCTTCTTTCACCCTCAATTGCATGAAGTATTTCAACCAACTGCTCTGGAGCACTGAGAGAAAATGATCTCAGGATACCTAGATAAAATTAAGCAAGATTCTACCTGACCTATGCTTGAATGAGGGCTGGATGAGTACTTCATCAAAGATGGATGGATTTTCCAAAGGAAAGAGAGAAAATAGGGAAATAATAAATTTACTTAGCTAAATAATTTTTAAATAACTTTTTAAAAAAAATCTAAAATAGCCCTTGTTTTTAATCACAATTGTCCCAACTATAGCAAATAAACACATTTGTAGAGACACCTACAGTACTACAGGCAACACCCAGCTAATAAAAATTCCTCAAAACCCAATGGGTGTTTCTTTTCCATTTGCAGCTTTAGTGGTATTTAATCCCAGGTCATTTTAAAATTCATTTAAAATCACATCCTGTTAATTTCTGGCTTGGGCAATTAAATATAGCTAAATTTCCCTCTCATCTTTTCTTTTTCTGTGCTATCTGCTCTGCCTACCTTTGCAGTGCTTCCCATCCCCGGTGTAACCAGATTTGCAGATGCATTTGTATGATTTGGGAGTGTTCTGGCAGATGGCATCAATATGGCAGTTGTCAGTTCCATCAACACATTCATCAATATCTGCAAAGGAAAGGGGAGAATGTGACATAATCAAAGCCTGCACTTTTTGAGTTTTACCCTGGCTATGTAATCATAGTGTTTTGGGGAAAGAATATTAAAGTATCAGAAAATCATACTCATTTTCAGAGCCCTTTGCCATTTCTCTCAAGAGTAGGAATCTTAAATTAGATCTAGTTGGAGGGTATGGTGGTCCTTTACAGTGTATGCTTGCTAAAGTTTACATTCAATATAAACCCACCATGTAATGTTTCCTCAGGCTTTCCCAGTCAAGTGCACCCCTATAATTCTTATTGTTTGTTTTTTAAATTTTATGATCTTAGTATCAAGTGATAGGTTACAAGTTAGAAGAACTACTCTTTTTACATATGCTCTCCATGATCTAGACCCCCCCTTTGCATTACCCTGCGCATGAGCGCAAAACACACGCACACACCACACGTGCTGCATTTTGGGCCTAGCAGACCTCATTGAAGCCTCCGGAGACTGGAAACAGCCCGTTTTCCAACTTCCAGTAGGCCCGTTTTTTGTCCTCTACAGGCTCCAGAGACTTTCTAGAAGACTGGGGATTGGGGGGGNGCAGTACTGCAGGCTACTTCTGCTGATTGCCGGCTGCCTGCAATTTGGCAGTTCAAATCCCACCAGGCTCAAGGTTGACTCAGCTTTCCATCCTTCCGAGGTAGGTAAAATGAGGAACCAAATTGTTGGGGACAATATGCTAACTCTGTAAAACCGCTTAAAGAAGGCTGTAAAACGATGTATAAGCCTAAGTGCTATTGCTATTAAATTGTGGAATAATGGTAAAAAGTTGACAGAGAGAAAATTTTCTGTACTCTTCTTCCTTCTGTCATTATCCTGCTACCGTTTTCCTCTGAGCCAACCCAAACTGTCCAAAAGAAATCATGACCACGCAAAGAGATTTTTCAAAGTGGCACAGGTGTCTATGTATGTGGGGAGAAAGAGAGAGAGATGAATCTGGGTGCTTGGCATGAATGTATGCTATTTTGGATAGGTCTGGTTTTCCACTAAAATTGCAATCATTTGCATGCTTATCTGTAAATAAGAGGTATACATGGAATAAATTGGATTTGCTTCAAGGAACTTAGTCATAAACAAGATGATAGTCAGCTGAATGCTTGCTTCCCAAATTCTTCCAAAGGATTAAGGGAATAATGAGTATCCAAGAAGAAGAAGAGTTTCCATAGCAAATCTCAAGAGAGTTAATTGTTCTTATGTGCTTTTGTAACAGAGGTTGATATCTAGTATCATTCATTATACCAATGATTAAAGGTCAATACAGTACAAAGAAAACAGTACTTATCCTAAGCCAGACAGATTTCAATGAATGATAAATAGAAAACAAAAAGAATTAATGTATGCTCAAGTAAAATGTTTAATTAAATAACAGCTGCCCCAATGACTCAATAAGTTAAATAATTTCTCCAGTAAAGTAGGAGGTCAACAATCAATGTAATCATTAAAAAGCATCCTTTAATACAATAGTTCAGAAATTGTATTAGAACAAAGGCAAAGCTCATCTATAGCATGTCGAGACCACACTGCAAAGAGGGCAAAAAAAGGTGGAAGTAAAAAAATAATTTAAATTAACGATATATTTTAACTTACATCCAAACTTAAGCAATCCACAATGCCTCATGTTGCAGTTTACTTTCAGGATTAAATAAGAAGCATATAAACAAACAAACCAAAAACTTTGAATGCCCTTTCAGAACCTCATACACAGGAAACAGAAACGGATAATCTGATTCTCAATTTAAGAATTTAAAATTAGCCAGATTGAACATAAAGAAAACTTGAAACAGACAAGCTGAGTAAACATAGAGAAAGCAAAGGAGAGAAAGGCGGAAAAGGTGGACCTTGTTTCGATAAGAAAGAAGATAAAAAGATCTAACAGGACACCCTGGATATACTAGCAGTTGAGGCAGAGAGCACTCCTAGACAGATATGTCTATGTAATCAGTAAGAATCTACTCAATGGAGGTTTAACTGGACTTGTGTTGTACGGATCCCATTGACTGCATGTGATACCTTCAAAAATCTCTTTCCATTTTTTTCTCCATATCCTTCACTTCTTGACAGCTAGCTAGCTTCTTGTTAATCCCAAATTATAGAATAAACCACGAAATGCAGTCTTCCCAAAATGTGTCTCTCATATGGTTTCCTATCATGCAACAACCTTCAAGTTTGATGAAAACACATTTAATGGAATTTACTAAAATGCCTCCTTCAATAGGATTGCTCTACAATGCTGATCTGGCATTGCGGACAGACAGCTTTTTTAATGCATTTGGCTTCTTAAGAGTATTTATTATTATTATTATTATTATTATTATTATTATTATTATTATTATTATTATTATTATTATTATTATTATTATTATTACAATCTTGGTCTACATCAGTGTAACAGCAGTAATGTTTTGCCACCCACTAGATAAATGGACAGAAATATACATGAACACATGGATGAACATTATGCATTATGGGGGGGGGGAGTGGGATTAAATGCTAAAAAAATGCTTCTCTTTTGTGAAGAATGAAGAACAGGTTTTTATTTCACTGACCACTGGGGGATAAGTGGGGTTAAGTGACTTGAACTTATTAGCTGCTTTCTTAACTCAGGTCCTGGTTAGCTAAACTGAAGAGTGATTTTATATATTTATCACAACATTCTAAATGCTGAAAACATTTAAGGTTGGCATATGAAACAGTGGTATGATTTTAAATAGAGGTAATCTTTAATTTACAATCATTAGTGACCATTAAGATTCAAACAAGTCTTATATAAGTCCCATACAATATATGTCCAAATTCAGCACCGCTTCT